TATGACATCAGCTGTTTACCAATTGTAATTTAAAATACTCTCTGTCGTATTCTATTCGTTAGTCGATATCACATGATTCTTGTGGTGATAATCTCGCTCTGAAAGGAAGGTTTAATTTGAAGGACTTTCTTTTATTGTCTCTGCTGGGTAGATCTTATGACTAAGTGTATAGGTTTTCTTCGCTTACGTTTGGACACACTTTGTGGGGGACATCGTGAAAAAGATTGTGAGTGGACGAGAGATTAAAACGCCTAAATCTATACGTGAGAAAGAAATTGAGCAACGATTGTGCGTGTGTGTAAGAGAGAGAGAGACAGGAACTATGGCACACCGGATCTACATTTGCATTAAAACTATATTTGTAATTTGAGCACGTTGGCGCGAATTAGTATAGTTGATGGTATCCAGGAATAAAATCTTTGGTTTGAATTCTGTTTGGATAAGAAGTCAAAAGAAATGGTCGAAGTAGTTGTTTTTCTTCATTTTGTTTTCAGTTGAATCATAAATAATTTCCATTTTGATTTATCACATTTATTCTTCAAAATATAAAATACGATTAAATTTTCTCCAATTATCTGTCCACCATTATTTGCAATGACTTGTTGCCACTTATCAGGCTGTTCTACGATACCTTTTGAATAAATGGCTGCAGGTTTTCTTGAAACCGGTTTGCATGAGAGAAAATTTTTCTCCTCAAAGCGTTTTGCAGCGATCGAAAAAGATAATTGATTGCTTCAAGTTCAGGTAAATATGGCGGTTCTGGGGATAACAAACAAACCGAATTCCAAAATGTTTTCCTCTGTTTATCTTGTTATATTCGGCCTTGCGTTGTTATAGAGGAGAACAGAATTTGTTGTTGAGACAAACGCAGGACGCTTTTCCAGCAAACCATTACCAGCACGTTGCACCTGCTGGACATGTTAATGTGCATTTATACGTTTCATTCCTTATTTTTTATGAACTCTAAATGAATAATACCCCGACGATACAAACATACGCACAACATTATCTTTCTTCCATGGAGCTCAGCTTTTGGTATCAGTTATGAAGATTTATCCTTGTCAATCCACTGCCTTTTACGTAACTCATTTTTCATCACTTGTTATGATATATTTAAGGAATGGTTACTTAGAATAATACATTCGTCATAACAATTGGTTCCTTAAAACAAAAATTACTTACGACTCAAACAAATAGACTTCTTTCATTTTACTCTGTGCCATCCATTGAATATATCAAGAATTAATTGCTTGGCTTTGGTGTAACGTCACTCAGAGGGGACCTAACGGTGCATGCTTGAGGGCTTCGTTACAAGGACGATGAGCTGACGGTGAGAATCCAAACAGTATTTATGTGTATTGTGTAACTTTAGCATTCAGAATGACCTCTCATACAGTTATATCATTATAATATATCGAACATATAGTGCTGGTGTTAATAAAACAGTGATCGAGCTATTACGTATATATTAATAAATATACAGATTATCTCTCGCCGATAGCACGACTCGAAGTTTCATACACAACGTAATGTTCAGGTGCTGCGTATAGACTGGTCGTTACGTAATTTAAATTACAATAACTAAATGTTGGTGTAGTTATATATTATACTGTGATTACAGTTTTCTAATTTTGGCATTTAAAATAAATGGGTTTTGTTTGGCTTCTTTTATTTTACGGCAAATGAACCCAAATGGGTTATTTAATACCGACAAATATTTTTCCTGCTAATATTTTGTTTAATCAAAAATCTATTTCTGGTAATATTTTTCCTCAAAAATGTATAGTTGGTAATATTATTTTAAAAAATGTATTGCTAGTAATATTTTGTTTTTCAAAAATATATTGCTGGTAATAGTTTTTTCTTGAAAAATGTATTTCTGGTAATAATTTTTTACAAAGTATTTCAGGTATTAAAACCTATTTTTACACTTTCATAATGCTTTTTACCCCAATTTCTGGGTTAACTATTTGCCTGGGACCCTAACAGGTGCTACCACCCCGGGTCAGGGTGGACCTCGGAACACCAGCAATTAAGAGGTGGTTCTACGCTCATCAAAATCCCTTGTTCAGAGGCCTTGCTGATGAACGTAGTTTATCGTCTTACCTTGGACACTGATGTAGTTTATCGTCATATCCAGGGCGGTAAAATAAACGGGATTTGTGTGTGTCTGTATATATATATATATATATATATATATATATATATATATATATAAAAAAGTAAAAAAATTAAAGTTGTGAATATTGATTTTAATATATTAAACATAGAGAGAGATTACTTTACTATTTTAAAAACAAACAAAGCATGATATACATTAAAAATTAATCTGGATATTTAAGCAGATATTTTTATGCCTACATGTAACCATCTATTCATTTCTCTTGTTTAATAAGCTAGGGTTATTTAAGTGTTTCAAGATAATTTTTCAGCATGACATAAATTACATCTATTTCTTTTCTCAGAGTAAGATTTGGCTCTTGCTATAATATAACAGGTGATAATAGATGAGTTACCATCATTCTTTAATTGTCACAGATATTTAGTGAGAGTAGTGTTTTTATATTTAATATTGCCTAGAGTTATTCAATGATGATAGAAACAAAATTTCCAAGGATTTTCAGTGGAACCAAAATAAAATTTGACATTGTTACCAGAATGTATGCTAGCTTAGTATAGAATATTATTAGTCCTACATTGACTGTTTAAGGGACAAATCATATTTTTTCAGCAGTTTCATTTTTTTTTTTTTTTTTTTTTTTTAAATAATGTTGCATTTGTTAGAAATATAATAATGTTATGTTGGGATATAGATTTATCGATGTTATTAACGAGCTGATCTTGACATTATTTTTGTTAAGTTTTTTTTTGTGTGTATGTGTATGATTAAAGTGTTTATGAATTAAATTTAAGGAAATTCTTCCGATATTCGTTCGTACATTATGATTAAAAGGTGGATTAAACAATATAATATTACGCTTACATTGTTTCTGTTTATTTTAACCTTTGTTTTTTCTAAATCCTCTAAATTTACTTTATGGTTGCTTAGTTCTAAAGTTTTTATATATTTTATTATTATCAAATATTTCCTTATTACTGGAGTTGGTAGATAACCTAACTGGGATTGATTTATATAAATTATCTAAAATTTTATGAGGGTGGCTTTATTATTTACTGACGTATGTATGGTTATGTAATAACCATTATTCAAGTCCAAGGTCACATCGAGAAAGTTAATCATTTTAATTTTGGTAGTAGTGATTTTATTTATTAATCTGACATTTTTTTTTTTACTTTAAACGTTATTTTTAGTGGATACCCATATTTGAGTAGACGCTCCATTTATTTATAGCGCCGCGCACACACACACACATACATATATATATATATATATATATATATATATATATGGTTTTGAACAGTATTTTATTTTCGTCTACCGACCAGAATAGTCGAAAATATTATTAAAAAAAACGAACGTCTATTCAAATATGAGTATCCAGCAAATATAACGTTTAATGTAATATATATATATATATATATATATATATATATATATATATATATATATATTAAAACGCGTCGCTATTCATAATTGAATTGAGCCCTCTGGCTGCTAGCGTTTGTATACATCCGTATATAATACGTTAAAATTTCCCTTTCTTTATGTGCCGATAGCTTAGGAGTATGATCTCTGACTGATGCCAAATCGGTCGAGTTTCGATCCCGGCTGAAAGTAATCGGATGTCTAGCCACATTGATGAGCGAAACAGACTTGTATGTGGATTATATATATATATATATATATATATATATATATTTGACGACCAATCACCTTTGTGGTTCCACTTCGGATTTTCTGTCCGGATTTACTTCCATAGTTGTTTTTCGTATTTGTATATGACTGCATGGCAGCGGAGGGTTCTTAAAATCCGGGTCTTCCTTCTCATATATGAGTGACAAGACAGCTGGTGGCAATCCCGAAAGGATTTTGCAGAAAGTTCTGCAAAGTAAAAAGGATACTGGAGTATGAGGTCCCAAAATGGACAGTTTGAAAAGGGCTATGGGCGGTTGTGTTTATTTATTCATAAAACGCTGGATGTACTTTTCGGGAAAATTTTGAACATATCAATAAATTTTATTATAAGTATGCTAATAATTGCCCTTCAACCAGGGTTCATCGCAATGTCGTTGTTATGAAAACAGCGAACTACTTGAAGATGTTTACAAAAGCAGGAGATAAAAAAAAAAAAACGATTCCGCGAAAGAACATAATAATAAGTTCAAATAATTAATACATAAAAGACAGGCTTTTGAAACCTAATAATTTATCAAAACTTAAATTTCATATATGGCATTGATGACATGGATGTGTGTATGAACGACTTGCTTTGGGGCTGAAATAATTGCATATTAGAAACTATGATGAGTGTTCGAGGCTCGGGAAAGGCCAGCGTTTTAAAATGCAGATTTTCAAGGCAGGGACATAAATATTATGTTTATTCAGTATTCAAATTAATATTTCATATCGTGTTAATTGTTACACTTTCTGCTTCCTATCATTGTTTATATTTGCATGCTTTTGTTGTTTATCTACCGAATATGAATTTGAATGTCTTTGATTATGAGATACACTTGTGTTTCATGTAAGGTGTGCATACCGATTAAATGAATTGCTGTCTTAGTGTGAATCTATGCCTTCTCTACTCCACCCCCGGATTGATTTTGTCCCCTGCCCAGTGACAAGTCAACTATTAGCCGACAAAACAGATAAGGAAATAGACAAATATGGTCGGATGAGCTCACTGTTCGGCCAGAAGACGCGGGGGGAAAGAAACAAAGGACGTGGGGAAGGTCGGGAAGAAGATGGCAGTGGGCGATAGTTGTGACTGTCGGGGCGGTTATGGCAACAAAACGGACGGCTTTTGTTTGTTTTACCACCAGCAGTTATATTTCTTTTCTTTTGTGCCACCACCCCCATATACACCTGACTCTCTCATATGTGGATTACATTTCTTTTCGCAATGGGGAAACGCTATTTCAACCACTCTTTTAAGGTAAGTTTTCAACCAAGAAATAGTGTTTTAATTTTCTTTCGTGCGTGTGTTTTTAATTATCTTATCAGTGAAATCTACGAGAATGTTGAATAGTTAAATTTTAAAATGTTTTATTCGCTTTTTTCCAAATTGCTAACTTTACTCATTATGAACGATTCTGTGATAGTAGTAATCTCCAAACTCGCTCTCTTTCTCTCTCCCCCTCGTACTCCGTAAACAGGTCTTCTTATCTATGCATATATTGCATTTTCCTAACTCAATCACATTATATATATATATATATATATATATATATATATATATATATATATATAGCTGATTTACCATCTGAGGGACTGAATGTAATGTCTGTTTATTTATGGACGATGACGCACTGAAGATAAATTTGAAAAGTATTAAAATTTAAATATTTAAAAAGTCTTAATTTTTGTTTGCAAGAAAATCGGATGATATTAGTAGTTAAAATAGAAAAATATTTCGGTACTAAAAAGTTTTTTAGACTGATTTTTATCATGTTAGTGTTCATAAAATGTTTGTTGTTTACACCTGTCAACACAGAAAATTCTTTCATGACTGGATAGCGATTCAGAATTAAACGTGAAAATTTTTTTCCAACACTAAAAAGTTTCTCTCGGGAATATTATTTGAAAAAAAAGTAACTTTTCTAGTTAGTTAACTTATATTTTAATTAATTTTGGATTGTATGAATGTATACTGGGCCATGGATAATGTTTGGGGATAACTTTTTAAGGATATTTGACTGTGGTTATCCCGCTAAAATATCTTTTAATCCGAGATTGAATAACAACGCTTGTCGGAAAATAGAAACTTTCACCCACGTGATCTACTCTTTTTCTAACAACAATCAGTTTTCTCACAATACTAATTGTCACAACTGGAATTTAAAAAAAATATATATAACCTAAGCTAAGCACTTATCTATTTTTGAAAATCGATTTTGTATTAATGTTTTGTTTGTTAATACTGAATTAACACCGAATGTCTAATGAATGGCATCAATCCTACAATAATCGTGTGGCCTTTTTGCTGATAACGAAATATTTTCTTCACGGAAAAATATGTATTTCTTTATTTATAAAAATGTTAAAAAATTTTTTTTAAAAATATCCATTTTGAGATCACTCCAAATACAGTTTTAACAACTAATATCAAATTTGATAAAATATTTAACAATGTCTTGTCTGGGTCAAAGTTTTGATTAGATTTTTAAGTGAATATGATGACGAATTGGAAAATTTTCTTAAAAATCAGTTTCTCACCATATTATTCTCATATTAAAACGCTTTACTTGGGGTATCAGCGATTGCAAGACCGAATTTGGCAAAGAAAATATATTTGTAATAATGGAGAAATATATAAAAATATTTTTTGGTCTGTCTGCTACATCGGAAGGGAATAAAGTATAAACTGTTTTAATGAAATTTGTCGACCTAAGGCGCCACTGGCGTGTCGGCTCATTCCGCTAAAGAATTTAGTGAGTGTATGTATTTTTTATTTTATTTTTTTAAAAATATTCCCCCAAATACAAGGCCCAAAAGCCACTCAAGGTAGAGGGTTACTGAATAGTGTTATATGAGCATGAGGAGACGGTAAGTGCTGTTTATGTGGTTATGTAGGAGAGATAACCGTTAAACCTAAACCTGACGAGGTTAAGATTGTAGTGATTGGGGAAAGCCCCCTTTCGGGTTGTCTGTTTCACAAAGTAGCAGCTCTTGGGAAGAAGCCCTCTGAATGAAACTGCCTTCTTACTAATGGAATAGAAAGGGAATGATGATGATGATGATGAGTCATCTCAGTGTGCGTAGCATGGCGGGTATTAATTGTAGATAGCCAGAACCCATGCTATGGAAATAGCGATAGAGTAACGCGAGACTTGCGAATTTTCGACTGTGGGGAAAGGAGTTGCAGAGTGGAAAACAATTCATCCCTCACAAGGACGCGTAGATGCTTTTGAACTCTATCAAGACGGTCCAATGCCAGCCCAGATATGACACCAATATTTTGATCTCATCTGGCACTATTTTACTAGTAGCGGTCATTTGAAATAACAAGCAAGATGTGATAATGCCACTAAGACGCAAAGGGCTACCGGAAGTGAAAGAGAAGGAGGGAAATCCTAAACAGGAAACAAGGGATAAATCTTCAATTCAAAATACGGAAGGAGTGTGAACTGGGTAATAGGCGAACCTATCTACTCCTATTGATCCCCTACAATATGAAGTGAAATAATCATATATGTATAAATATTATTGCCACATTGATACATATATATGTAAATCTATATTTGGGCAGCAATCTTTCTTTTAAATATGGCAAACAAGGAAGATTTAATTAATTTTTTTAGTTTTTCTAGCATCCTTACGTTTTTCCGTTTGTTAGGAGGAGAAATAATACAAAAATTTTCCATAATTTTCATTTTCCCAAACGCTTTCGGCCATTTTCCATCTTCAAGGGGGCTTTGCATTATATATATATATATATATATATATATATATATATATATATATATATATATATCTCGAATTTCGCTCTGTCCTCATTGCTTTATTGAGTGACAACATTGATTCATTTCTCTGATACAAGACTGATTTCTTTTTTTATTACAACATATGAACATTTGTAGATTAAAAGAAAAACTGCAAAGGTTCATATGTTGTAATTAAAAGAAATCAATCTTGTATCAGAGATCTGTGGATCAATATTATTTAAGATGAGGAGGCACGGTGGACTAATGGATAGCGGCTCGAGGGAATCGGAGAGCCGAGTTCGAATTCCAGTCAAATCCATTACATTCACTTACGTGATAATACCCTCGGGAAAGGTATGAATCCTCCTCTTCTTTTCCCCCTCCAGCTATGGGTAAATAGCAGGACAGACCAGGTTCTATAGCCTCGGATGGTAACTGGTCTACCGCAGAAAGAAATAGCAACCCACTGCGGGAAAAAATCTGCCTCGTCAGTCATATATCGAAAGATACATGATCGCCTAAGCGTGTATCATGCATGGAACAATAAATGAGATTATTTATGTTTAGGCTTTTAAGCATTTTTATTTCATCTTTTATAAATATTACTGCCACGTATATTTTAGATTGTAAGAATTTTTACTTGTTTATTTTTTGCGAATATTAACAATTATTTTGAGACTAAGAATGTTTTTTACAGTTACAAATCTTACCACAGTTGGGGGTGAAGAGACGATTTCCTGCCTTTTACCAATGATATTTGCGCGTAACAGAATGTAACGGACCCGAGTGGAATTCGAACTCAGCCCTCCGATTTCTCATTCCAAATCACCATCCATTGCACCAACTACGCATCCCTCTCATACACAAAATGATTAAAAAGAAAGATATCGTCAATAATTTTGGCTGTTCTTCAATTGATAAACGAAAGTTATATTTAAGAAATGTAATTTGGTAGTCTGCAAAAGATATCTGTAATAATTTTGGTATTCATCTACATGACACACCTAATCGTCATGTGAGTTTGGTCACCTGAAATTGTGAAGAGTTCGAATTCCATTCAAACCTTGCTTAGGTACGGAGGAAATATTTCCTTTCGTTTCTGCCTCATAAAGAGATTTTTGTAAATATTAATTGACAACCCTGTGTTTTAACCAAGCGTAATTTGGTTAGAAATCGTATTATGATTGGTCAAATGATAACGCAGGAGTAAGATATATTTTCTCCTGTTGACGTAGGTTTTCGCGTTTGACGAAGAACAAAAAACCAACCCGCCTCGAATCCTCGTTTTAGTGATGACTAGTCTTGGCAATCTCTTTTTTCAGTCTATTTATTGCGGTTTCAAGAAGACGTAGACATTTCTGAACATTTCAATCGGCCCACCAATAACAACATTTCCGGTTAGAAGAACCAATTATGTTTGTTTTGTAATATTAACCTGTTTCTTTGTTGGTACGATGTTTCTTCACGGTACCAAACTTGGCTTCAAATAGAAAGAACTCTCTTTATTTTTTTAACGCGCAGCCGGTTTTACTTAATATTTGAGGCGATGCGCTTGTGTATGTTTGTGACATTTTAAACATTTTGATTAATATACAGAAATGTATAAAAAAAATGGTTGAAATTTCGCTCTTAGCTGACTTAGTAAGGTGCAAGGTCAGAGCAATTAGTGAGGATCGAACTCTTCACAGCAATGGTTTCAATGGCTTGTTAACTACTGATCCACAGCTAGATATATATTAACATTTTCTTAAATTTCTCTCTGAGCATTGCGAAAATTGTGAATGAACTTAGATTATAAATATAAATAAATAAAATATATAATAAATATTTTATATATATATATATATATATATATATATATATATATAAATGAGGAAAATCGCTTAAATGCTCTCTACTTTGTTTACTTTAATACTTATGCGTTAACTCTGTAAAATGTTTTAGAATTGGCACCATTTCTCCGAAACCTTGAAAAAGGAGGAGGAAGTTCTTATTTAGATTGGAATTCACGTTTTATTTAGTTGGATGTCAGTTTTTACAAAAATAATAATAAAAAAATACAATAAAAGACTTTATTTAATTAGAAAAGCTTTTAATTACTTTTATGAATAAGATATTATGGACACTATTGCTTTAAAAAGAATTTTTCAATGAATAATTAATTTTTACAAGAATTGTTTTAATTTTTAATTTTAATTATAATTTATACTTTTAAATCTGTATTAATTCGTAGCGGTTGGGTGATATTGTTATTTAGTAAAACTTATATTTCCTAATCATTGTAAATTATAAATGTAATCGTTTAGCTTGAAATTGAAACTCAAATAAAAGCTTCAAGAAAATGCATTTTAAACCTTAGGTATCGCTTTTCTTTGGGTGTACCTATCTATCTTTTGGAAGTACCTATCTATTTTAGTACATTCCTGGAACCTCCATTGGGAACTACTCTTTAGATCCAATGTGTTTTTAAAGACAATTTTTACCATAATTGGTGTAAAAATGTCTCGGTAGT